CATTTAAACATGAGCTAAATGATTTCTTTCGTTTTCAAATATTTGGTTAGCCGTGTTAAATGTTTATTCAGCTACTTGGGTACCCGAGGAATTGAAGATCCAACGGCGAAATAAAAAGTTAAAGTAGAGAATTCAAACACTTGAACACCTTAGTAGAGACAAAATTTTCAAAATACACCAGAAATGTTGAAAAATAATTGCAAATGACAAAGAAGTTGGACAAAACTACTTGTCTACCCGCTTAGATCTTTTGTTCGCCGAACGATTACAACACCACATCGAGGTTGCGTGACACTGTACATTATTACCTTACATGTAAATCATGGCGACTGCACGGTCAACGATCCTTGCGTTTGCCCTAGGTCTTTCGTTTGGGGTTTTTGTCGTTACTGTTCTAAACCGCTTCAATCAGGAGGAGACTATGCAAAAGTTTTTTGTTCCAGAAAATACCCATGAAGGAGAAATGGTAGATATTACACATAAAATGATTCAGAGGGGAAGTAACTTCAAAGTCGATTCACCAGTGGATTTTAATGTCGACATGAAAGATCATCATCACCACCTTTCTTTGAATAAAGAGGCTCTTGAGGAGCAAAAGAAGATAAAGATTTTATGCTGGGTAATGACGAGCCCTAAAACTCTGCACGTCAAAGGCAAACCAGTTAAGGAGACTTGGGGGAAGCGCTGCAATATTCTTTTGTTTATGAGCTCGGAAGCGGACCCAAAGTTCCCCGCAATCGGACTCGATGTTCAAGAAGGGCGCGAGAACTTGTGGTCGAAAACCCGCGCTGCTTGGGATTATGTTTATACTCATCACCTCAACGATGCTGACTGGTTCATGAAAGCAGACGACGATACGTATGTTATCATCGAAAATCTCCGACATCTGGTGTCTAAAATGAATCCCGACGAACCGCATTTCCTTGGAAGACACTTCAAAACATTCGGAGGGTACAACAGCGGCGGGGCTGGATATGTATTCAGTCGGGAAACAGTTCGTAGATTTAAGAAAGCATTGGGAGATACCTCCATTTGTTCAACTACAAGCTTTGCCGAAGATGTGGAAGTTGGAAAATGTCTCAATGCCGTGGGAGTGAAACCCGACCAAACGAGAGATTCAAGTGGAAGAGAGACGTTTATGCCGCTCCCCCCGGAACACCACTTGATTCCCGGTTATTTACCCAAAGATTTTTGGCTTTGGTCATATGATAGCAACCCATACAAAGAGGGACCTGAGTGTTGTTCAGATCATGCCATCACTTTCCATTACATTAATCCAAACAATATGTATGTTTTAGAGTACATGGTTTACCATCTCAGGCCTTATGGAATGATTCATGATGATCACTCTTCCACTGAGGGTTCTGGAGGGGCAAAACAAAAATAAACAACTTGATTTTTGGAAGAGTTCAATATGACATACTTTCGAACCTGTATTAAGCAGCTCGATATTAACATTCTAACTCCTAGAAGTGATTAACATGTAACTTCTCCTTTTAAAATTCATACATTAATCAGCAATCAGGTAATGAGAATACTCAGTTTATCAGGTTACATTGTCCCCATCTGTTTGAATGGTCACTCAAAGAGAACCACTCATCAAGTCACTGACAACTCAATACAGGTTCCACTTTAATGTATTTGAAATATATCTATTAGTATAATATATTTGAGAATAGCACATAATGATAAGGAGTTTTATCCTAGAGGAGCTCAGTGTGTTTGATTTTATCATAGGTTTTCAATTTTACTTCCCTCAGATTCTGCATACAATATTTTGTTACAATGAGTTTAAAGTGAAAGTATGTTGAATTAAAGCTAAGCATAAAAATGCACCCCCATGGATATGTATTGCAACTTGAGGTTCCTTTTTTCCTTTATGATCACTGGTAAGGTAGTTTTCAACTGAGTTTATATCTTAAATTGGTCACAGTAAAGAGTTATAAAAGTGATGTTTTGAGTGTTAGCCCTTAGTGGCTCTGACAAAGGGCTACTGCTAGATATTACACATAAAATGATTCAAAGGGGAAGGAACTTCAAAGTTACAGTTCACTTTGAAATTTCCTCTATGGTTTAGCGACCCTCTGAAATGAAAAATGTCCCATCAAAACTAACTCAGAAGGACAAATTGACCCAAAGTAGTCAAATCCTAGCTCAAACCCTGCTTATAGAAATGGACACACTCTGATTGGTATGCCATATCTTTTTATAATAATTCCGCACAAGTTAACTATCATAATGAATTCAAAATGGCCACTGCATAGCTCTTTTGATGTTTATGAGGATAAAAGTAACAGAACTTTCATTGTTTGACATTGGACAATGAATCTCCTCAAGTTCAGTTAATCTTTACAGATAATTTATTGTATAATATTCACTCCACCCTAGGTGAATAATTAGTGTCATATAGAAGTTCCTCAGAGCAGGACGTACAATGAAAAATACTATGTAAATTGAGTGGAATTTCTGACTGGCCTAAAGTGTATTACGAGCTTACGTGCAGATAATTTATATTCCTTTTGCTTTGTTTTGTTACAAAAGGAACATTTAAACTGCTTTGTAAATTAGTTCTCATATCCTGAAGATTGGTTTCAGGGATTTCAATAATTTCAATGGACATATTTAAAGATGGTTCATTTAACAGAGCCAGAAAATATAACAGGAATTTGATTGTTTTTCTTGCAAAATCATTGAAAATAGTTGAACAGCAGATTTTATATCTTAAATGCCTTTTAATGTTGAACTCATAATGAACAAGACTTAGCCAAGGCACTAAATCATTATGTAGCATTTGGATGTATCAGTTAGAGAAGAAACTATGTGCAAGGGTAATAGTAGTTTATTATAGTGAAATTGCTGCACAACTATGGACTTCTTTGTTACCATGTTGTATCTTGCTAAAATAATAAAAGATATTTTCCATTCAGTGCCAACTCAAAGCTATTAATAATAACTTTTATATTTAGCTACATTTGTTTACTGTATCAAAACATTGGTCCAATCAAAGATGGCTTGATTGGACAAGAAAGAAGTTTTCTTTTAATTTTTCTTTTCACTTGGCAAAATTTACAGCAGGATATTGTGAAAAGATGGAACCATCAATTGTAGAGGACCTTCATGAACTTGTTTTCACCAGCATAAAGCAAAAGATTTCACTCACAGGATAACAAATATATTCCATCCACCGCTCCATGTTCTTTTGAACTGCACACTCAACTGCATTTATTTGATTTGAGAAATTTCCATATTAAGATCTGAAAGGTTCAGAAGAAACTCTTGAGGGGTCTGGAATAAACAAGTTGAAATTGTTAAAGATGAGTGTATCTTCAACAAGATAGAGATTTTTAAAAGCCTTCAGTTAGACCTTAAGTGATGATAGACTGGCACAGAGAAGTCATAAATATTTATGAGAGGTTATAGTGAACATTCATAAGGTCTCCTATATTGGTAGCTGTGTTCATCCCGGAAGACATCATTTTATTCTGACATCATTTCAGCTTCAGCTGTCTTGTTTTTGGCAGCAGTTAGAGGTTGTAAATGGCTAAATTGTTTGTATTTTCCAATTGGTGTTCCTTTGATTGTTGCAAGAGGTTCTCCAGCCCTATTTTGTATTAAATATGAACACAATTTGATCCATGCAGTCTATTACTGATGATTGATCAAACTCTTTTTATTTAACTCAGGTATGAGAATAATTAACCAGTAATTAATGCACCATGCAGTCAAATAATAGATAAACTATGTTATTCTAGGAACAGGAAAATAATTAAAACTGTATTGTTTAAAATTTGAATAATGCATCAAAGGCAGTCATCCTTGAAGTGTTTGTCTTGAAATACTCTCTCCAATTGTATTTAGTAGTACTTGGTCACAGTTTTGATAAATAAGTGAGCACGTAATATGATTATTACTGTTTTCCCATATAGGTGGGTCAGGCCAACCAGAATATGCCCTTGTTTTTCTACATAATCGATTTTACTAAGTTTTGTGGAACAATTGCACTGTTAGTGAGCAATACGGCCATATTTGACCATCATGAGCTGCTAATGTTCCATTTCATCATTCGACATTTAAATGTTCTAAAATACGGTCTAAGATTTTTTTTATTTGCTTTCTCTTTGTTTCGTTTTTGTTGTCCTTTTTGTTTTATTTGTTGGTTTTTTTTTCTGATCATTTTCTCAACTTTTTTCCTCTCTTTTGTCTTTTCATTTCAAAGAAAGATCAAGGAAACTGTCTGATGCAAGGGAAAATGAACATCACCGTGGTTACGATAGGAAATGACGCGAGTTTTCAGGACCAATCACAGCGCGACGTAAAGTGAATGCACTTTTGGAAACTGTTTTGCAATTAAATAAAATTTTCTCCTTATTCCTGGATCGGAATCATAAAACTGGAGGTTCACTCGAGTGATCGAGCGTCTCTACTAAGTCCTGGCACTTTTCAAAGTTTCCCTCTCATTTCTTTTTCAGTCTTGTTTTTTCTTACTTCCAATTTACTACCGCCTTAGCAATCACAGAGGGAAGTGTGGATTAGTGTTAGGGTTACGGTCAGCATTCACGCACTGAACAGGCAATTCCAGCGGAGCAAAGTTCTTATTCAGTATTTCATATATCGTAAACAGCAGCAATTTGATGAGAGCGAATCTGTCAAACTCACTGATTTATTTATGAAGTACAATTTTTCACAGATGGATACCAAAATGTAAACATAGGTAGGTATTTTACCGGATTTCTGGAGTTTTGCATGTACTAATTGCTATGCATGTATGTGGTGGCAATACACCTTCCCGCGCTTCGACATTAAATTAAGATGTTAACTCTGGTATTGGAAACGCGATCTTTTCCAAAGCTAGTAGCTGCACATAATCATTAAGTTCCCATGTGCGTCCAAAGATCATCTCTAATTAATCCATGTTTCTACAGTAACACTAAAACTATTTCAATTGTGACGTCGAGGAAGGTATGACTTCCTTCGTTGCGGGTCAGTGATTAAGCTAATGCTTAGGTTTCATATTTACAAAAATATTTCTAGCTGCCTTTGTCTAAGCAGGGCAACAAGAGTACGGCATGGCTGATTCGAATACTGTCGGTTTCCTGCTCTTCTGTACTTTAGTTTGTACATTTTTCAAAACGCCGGAGGTACAAGCACAAAACTCAAGCATGTGTAAGTAAAATGAAGTAATTTTTAAAGCGAAACAGCGAGAGACAACACAACTCCACACATTTACGTAGTTAAACCTTTCTAGTTTTAAACGACGTTTTGACAATTTTCGAACCCCTGTTAAGCGAAATGAGACACAAATTTGTAAAAGCTGCCTAATGCTAAGGCTTCAGTCTGGTTTTATGAAGGAAAAATTGTTTCAGATAAAGTTGTATAACGTGCCGAACGCAATATTTCACTGATTTCCGGGTGGTAAAAAATAGCAGTTGTCACGGATACGCGCACATTTCAGCGCTTCTGTTCTTCAATTTTGATGTGCTCTACTTGCTTGATAATTTGCATCATATTTATAAGACGTGTCTAAATGACTTAAAGAGATTATTCCGAGCTAATTATGAGCAAGACTTCCATGTAAATGTGAGATATTTGAGCAGACAAACCACTTATCATGTTGATTGGAAACAAACACTCGAACGAAGAATGTTTAAAGCAAGTATAGTATGGCCTCTCGAGAGTGTGACATTTTTTTTTTCCTTCATTGTTTTTCGATTCTCGTTGCCTTGTATTTTGATTTATTGCTAGACTGTTTAAAATAAAACAGTGGTGTCTAAAGTTATATTTCAAATCGTTCGACCATTTAATTGACTTGTTCTGAATAACTTGCTACCGCACAAAGACACAGCTTGATCACAGATAACCTTTCGTGTTCGAAAATGGGACTCAGTTTTGTATCTATTTTTCTCTGTTTTAGCTGCAATTTCCACTCTAGACAGGAGCACACCTCAAAAGTCAGGTAAGTCTTTGTCTGAGCTAATTTTCATCAAGAAACGAGTTACAGGGTTTGATGCAGAGAACTAGGGTTTGAAGCCGTCACGGTATCCTGACCTCGCTGTTTCTTATCAATCATTAATCCGACCACGATCAATTTCAAGACCGTCCATTTCAAGGTTCATTTCAAGATTTGTTTGTATGTACAAGTTTCGCATTGATATATTCTTGCTATCTCTGGTTCGAATACAGAATTCATCTCCTAAAGCTCTAAGTACTAACCTAACACCAATGCACTTTATTCGGCTACATGAGTATAATCCAATTACGATTAAAATGAATACCAAAAGATTCACGAAGTCCACTTTTTTTTAACCAAGAACTGTAGCTTAAAACAAAACAGTGGTAGATATGTCTAAAGTTATATTTCAAATCGTTCGACTATTTAATTGGCTTGTTCTGAATTTAACTTGCTACCGCACAAAGACACAGCTTGATCACGGATAACCTTTCGTGTTCGAAAATGGTACTCAGTTTCGTATCTATTTTTCTCTGTTTTAGCTGAAATTTCCACTCTAGACAAGAGCACACCTCAAAAGTCAGGTAAGTCTTTGTTTGAGCTAATTTTCATCAAGAAACGAGTTACAGGGTTTGATGCAGAGAACTAGGGTTTGAAGCCGTCACGGTATCCTGACCTCGCTGTTTCTTATCAATCATCAATCCGACCACGATCAATTTCAAGATCGTCCATTTCAAGGTTCATTTCAAGATTTGTTTGTATGTACAAGTTTCGCATTGATATTTTCTTGCTATCTCTGGTTCGAATACAAAATTCATCACCTAAAACTCTAAGTACTAACCTAACAGCAATGCACTTTATTCGGCTGCATGAGTATAATCCAATTACGATTAAAATGAATACCAAAAGATTCACGAAGTCCACTTTTTTTTAACCAAGAACCGTAGCTTACAGTTTAAGGCAGAGTCGGTTGTGTTGTTAGACTGTAAACACGTATCTTTCCGAAGTAACGTCCTCTTGTTTTCGGACAAGCAGTATGTGAAACAGATGGAAAATTTGGGCACCAGGTCGTCACCTTGGTATTGCAGAATTTCAAGAATCTACTGTTTGCTCCCACACACATATCTTGTGGCAAAACCTCACTGTAGCGTTTAAAAAAAATTCTATGATAAAAAGAGTAACCACAGGTGAACTTGTCAAAAATTGGATAAAAAAATTTCAGTTACCAAAATCGGGCACAAAAGAAAGCATCTAACTTACCTATGGCAAGACAATAATTATTGTACCTTGAAGTGGTTCAAATTTAGTGATTTAAATGTTCCAGCTCTTAAGCTCTCCCTTCTACACATTATAAGAGGGTTGAGCCCCGGCGGCTAAGGCCACGCACGGGCTCAACCCTGAATGGGGCGCAGATGAGTGTGTCCAGTGATTGGACTATGCTTTAGGAAGGACTGATCTCTGTTTCGAGAAATGGGTAAAATTTGGCAGAAGGGAATAATTTCACCATGATCGGTAGAATTTCGTGGAAACACGAGCGAGGTTCTTTTATTGCTATTGTCGCTTTGAGTGGTTTTACATATATACCACAGCCCCTCGACCAGCACCCTTGCACTGATAACAGAAGAATTAGAGCAATTTAAGTCAAGGAGATGAACAATCCAACTAAATTAAAAGGATGTAAAGATAACCGTGTTAAAAATTGGCTGTTGATCGGTTCAAAGAATTTACTTAAATGTGATTACGATATTAGCCAGGTACCAAGAGATAATAAACTATGTACGGATATCGAGCTGCCCAGATTATCGCCAATTGATTTTAACAGAGGATCTCCAAATCTGACTATAGTTTATTTTAGTTATGAACATTTATAAAATAGGCTGAATCATACACTTGTTTTGATTGGTTCTTGCCTATAAGCTATTGAACAAACGCATCGATGACTTCACCATCAACGACATTTTGCTTCTGCATTTATTATATAAAACAAATAGACTTCGTGTTGCCGTGGGTCTGATGTGGTGAGAACATCTGACACACTCGTCTGAGCCTTATGTGCTACTTCCGTTTTCCTACCGGCCACATGTTGACGTCATCAGTGATTTATCACTGAACAGAAGCGCGGCAACATGAAATCCATTTGATGAACATACTAATTATTGGCGAAATAGTGGAATATTTGATTACATGCTTGTGGATTATCGGTACTATAGATTTGCTGAAGCCGGAAATCTATTTACTGATTACTTCTAGGACAGAATTTTCAAAGCCTCCAAGTCTTATTGTATGGAACATCAAGAAAGCCTACCTGAGCATTGAATTACCGGGTGCCCTTAGCAAATCAGTTTTAGACTGAATTACTGAACACCTACAAAAACCAGCCGAACCGTTCTAGAACCCTGATAATCTAACCATTAATTCTCCCAACTCACGACTCTTCATTACCTTGTTTACAATTATTACTAGTTTAATGATGTATTAATTAACAGTTAATAGTTTAATGATGTATAAAGAAAGTGATTTTATTGCCTTGATTATAAATCTTTCAATCCTTAACTTTGCTGGAAAGGGAAATGACGTTAACGTTCTACTCGATTGGGATTCGTGAGTGAGGCGTGATTTGCCTCCTGAAATGTACGTGGCCCGGCCGCAAATATTCTTTTTCATTTCATGAAAGTCTCAAGGTTTCCCAGAAACCTCGCACACAAAAA